ATCCTCACTTTATTTGTTGATTACGAACGTCTTTTGACATTTAATTTATGAGGTTTACGTTTAAGGATGAATTTGACAGCGACAATGTTTCAAAATTAAAAAGGGAAGCAGTGATTATTTGATTATATAGACGCTTCGCCCCTGGTCACATTATGCGCAGCTGCGAAACAACAGGATATCTTCCTCTTCATGAAAACGTCAAGGCCACCTTGTTGTCTACTGTTGTCCCCATTACAAAGTAGCCTACTACAAGTGCACTTGAAGAAGCGCTTTCAGCACACTCAGCAAGTAGGAGTTAGAGGAAGACTCTAATTATCATCTAATTATCATGTCGCCACAAATAAGACGTAGTCTCAAGGATCTTCACCTCCTGTGCTGAGTCGAAATTTTTGAAGAGATGACCTATCTTTTCTTTCATTTTCTTTTTTTTGATAAGTGTTTTACGGCGCTCGCAACTGCACAAGGTCATATGAGTGTGCAGGACACAAACTTTTTCAGTTGGTAGTAGATTCAAATGCCGCATAACAATTTCAAAGGTAAATAAGCTTGAACCGGAGGGGAAAAAAAGAGGCTATAAGTAAAAGAAGTGTTTCAAGGTAAGAATTAAAAGGGTTTGGGTTGTTTTTTGTGTGTTTTTTTTGTAACGAAAAAGTTAGATGTAAGCCGTGCGGTGCTACAAGGAAGAAATCACACGAAACGAAACTATTAATTGTTAAATTTCTAAAACCCAAAAATAAACACAAGTTTAAACAGAAACGAATGGTTATGATAAAAATCAACAAACTGCTGGTGTATGTATGCAGAACTAACAGAATGAAATGTAAAGCCAAGTTTACTTTTATTTACATATTGTCGCACTACTAAAACGCTGCGGCATATAGGCTTGCATTGATCTGAAGACTGCTACCATTTTCACTTAAGCCACAATTGGCTGGGTAGGGTTTTTGTTTTTTGTTTGTTCCAGAAACTGGGCAAGTGTTACTATCTATGTTAGTGAGTCTGCTGAGAGATAATTTAGTCTCTTGATTCCGCGAACATTGGTTTCAAATCGTATTTCCCAAAAAATAATATTCAAACGGTGAATTAAGAAATGGTATAGGTTTAACGCCCCCTATCAACAATATTAGGTTATTTTAGAGGCAGGACCTCCCAGATCAACGTCTGTCTCCGAAAGGACCGATCCAAACAGGAAATTCGAGTGTAGTGCCTTTCCCAAGGACACAACGCGGACGGAACTGAGGCTCGATTTCCCGAACCCGGATCTCAACGATAACCGATAGCCTAACCTCTAGGCCACCCACGCCACTTTATCGTATTTCCAAATTAAGAAACGTTTTTACAGATGGTGAGACACGGTATGCAGGTGGCAAGATAATTATTTCACTCCGAGTCTATTTGATAAAGCGAAACAGTTAAATGAATAAGAAGAAAAAAATGAACTTGAAAATAGACAAGTTTAAATAAAATATAATGGTTATGATAAAAAATCAACAAACCGCTGGTATTTGTTATAACTATTTTGGTGAAATGTAAGGCCAAGTTTACTTGTTTTTACACAAATTACCATTGCACTACAAAACGCTTCGGCGTAGGCTTGCATTGTCATTGATGATCTGAAGACTTCTGTCATATTCACGATATTATAGTCACGGCTTGGGTTTTTTGTTCCATCAACTGGGCAAAGTGTCACCATTCTTTGTTGATGAGTCTGCTGAGTGAGCATTTGGTCTTTTATTTCACCGTGCCTCGGTTTCAAATCGTAATTCCAAATTCACAAGCGTTCTCGTAGATGTTAAGAAAATGTGTGAAGCAAATGTCATCGTGCGTTTCGGTCCCCTTCGACCCTGCTTTACACTTTACTCGAACAAATCATTGCTCGCTCAGTGCTCTTCCTCAGTTTCTCCTCGTTAACAGCCTGATACCAGCCTCATCGACGAAGGTAAATTAATACTGCTTAGTGAAGTGTTCTGCACCAGCCATGCTGCATAATATTGATGTCTGGTTGCTTCAGTCCTATCAGAATTTCTTTCCGCGGGAGCATCCTCGGGATTATTTTTTTTATTGTGATCAATTCACCCTAAAATGAAACTGCC